TTTAACTTATCACTTTGTACAAAATATCCTTAACTATTTGGGATATCTCTTAGTGCACAGGAATATTGATGTGATTTTCAATTCTAGTCTCCTTGGTGAAAGAATGTGTCCCATATGTAGGGTTTCTAGAAAGTAATATTTTTTTATTACTTTGTCGATGGAAATTTGTTAGAATTAGTACCTACAACGGGGTGCAATGATAGTTGATGTCCCTAGAGAAAGAGGCTTGAGTTTCACACCTTGGAGTGTAGAAGAGTGAAGTTGAAGAAGGGTTTTTGGCTCAAAAAAGAAACAAGACAATCAAATTTTCAATTCAAAAACTAAAAGGTGGGTTTTCTTGCACCAACCACTAAAAAAAAATCACCCTAACAAACATAAAACATTGAAGGGTAAGGTGTTAATCGTGGATTGAGACGGAAAGAGAAAGAAAAAGAGTCAAGTTTGGAGGGTGGTCGATGTCACAAAGGGGGCTGAGATCCTTATAGGACCCCCTAAAGGATCTCCTTTTGCCGGTTACGCTAACTCCTTATCCCAGCATTTTTTTTATTAACTCTGGGTGGTTTCTTTTGGTTCACCGCCCCAAGCTTTGGTGGTGTGTGGGGTCCAATCGGAGGAGGCTCTTATGAGTTCAATGATGCGGTCCGCCGCATGATTGGCGACTGCAGCCGACCCACCACCGTCCTACGTGGACTACGCGTCCACATCTCCAGCCATTCCATGTAGCCCCAGCTGATAATTCCGGCTCCTCTCCGCCCCAATATGTTTTACCCTTTTTTTTTTTTTTTTTTTTTGGAAAGCCCCAATATGTTTTACTATAGATATTATATTACTACTTGTTCAAGCTGCAGAGCATGCTGTGTACCAAACTCTAATATTTGTCATGGAAAGAAAGAAAAAAAATACTTTTTCCATTAATTGCAAAGTGCAGAATTGATGGTTATGAAACATCACATTCGATCTCCAAAAAGAAAAAGACACACAAATAATTCTTATCCCAATTTGTTTATAACAATATTACCAAAGTTCTATACGTTGGTAACATTATTGTAGTTCTCGACATTATCCTTTAGTGGGAATCAGATATTATCTCACAATTAATGAACTCTAACAAAGAGCCACATCATTTTTTTTTTTTGATAATTTTAAATTACACAATAAATTTTATCTGTTTATTTATCTAATTTATACATTTATAATTTAAATTTAAAATTCCTTATTTAGAGAAGAGATTTGAACTATAAACAAATATATACATTGATACATAATCAAATCATAGTTACTGCACATTGATCCCACCTGAGACACGAGTGGTCAAGCGGCACTAAACACCTGCTTTTCTAGCTAACTAGGATGCATATATATGCGAATGGTCAGCCTCATGAATTATCTAAACACGCTTAGCAGAAGATATTTTCTTTTGACATTATTGGTTTCTTCCTTCTAATTTTTGACAACGGAATACAAACAGTAATAATTACAACTTGCAACTTCATTTATACGTACTTTGAATTCTCAGGAAGGTCGTCAATCACGTTACAAGTTTACTTTGTAAGGGTTCTTAATTAGTGGTGATCGATCATCTCTCTCCCTCTCTCACTTTGTTGTTGTTGGTTTTTTTTTTTTTTTTTTTTAATATATTAACCTTTTGGTATCTGAAAATTACATTAAATTCTCACTAATATGAAATCAAGCCATGTTAGATTCTACAAATAAAGAAACTTTTTTAATACTTATTTTTTCATTTATGAGACTCGAACTTGAGATTTTATTTAAGAGAAATCGAATTTTTTTTACTTAAACCAATAGATTGTTAGTTCCTCTTTCATTTTGTGGTAAAGGTAAAAATTAAAATGAGTTCTTTGGGAAAAAAAAAATTCTCAAAAAGCAGTAATTTATTTCTTTGGAAGGAAATTAATCAATAATTAATCTAAATTATCCTTCTCCATTCATCTTTAACCACAAAATAGCTAGCCATGCATAAAAATACTGTAGTGGAATACCATGATTTCATATGCTTTTGTTATAAATGAAAATGATGCTTCCATTAATTTATCTTTTTAGTGCTAGCTAGAAGGATAATGTTTTTGAGAGGCCACAAGTTAAACTATAATTATTGTAAAGATGATTAAAAATTTAAAAGATACATGCATGACATTCGAGTTAACAAAAATATATATTTTTTTCTATCTCCTTTATTAATTAAAGTTTAACTTTTTAAGAACGTTATATATTAAGTAAACCAAAAATCTAGCTAAAATATTCCTTGATGTCTAAAAAATAACATGTTAATACATTTAACAGCCGACCACATGCATTCTTTTCGTCTAATTAATCCTAAGCCTAAACCAAATAAAATCCTTTCGTTATCACAATTCGACGTGTATTCCTGATTACGTTATACCTAATAGTATATGGTACTAAATTTAAAACTATAAACTCATATATCCATGGAATTAAGTATGTCCAAACAGCAAAAAGATGATGAATGCCAAAAACTTTTGCGGTTGTAAATTATACTTAGGAAAAGTCCCAAAGGAAAGTGGAAGAAAGTGGGGTACGTGTCCTTTGGAATCAAAGGGCTGTCCTTTGCTACCCATTTGTTTTTGTCTTTCCTTTGTTTATCTTCTACGTAAAGAACAATGCCCCTCCACCAATTGATATCTTCCATGTGTGTAGCTTTTTCACTGTTCTCCTCAGTATACGTTTTTCTTTTCCATTGTTCTTCCTTCCTCAAAATACTTGTCGAGAAATCATTTGAAGGCCGTAATTACTTTCTGAAATAACCTAAATGCCCCTTGAAGGTGACAACCTGAGACGAAAAAAAATTCATGGGCTGATTTGATTTTTTTTTTTTTAATGCGCCTGCCGCCTAGTGGGCCAAACGATCGAGTTGCTGCTATGTGTTATGGATACGGTCCATACGGAGTTAAAATGCGAGCTAGCTAGGGGGAAACGAAGGCTATATATTAATTTTTTTCTTTATATAAAAAAATTGTTGATCTTTTGGGTTAAAAGATAATATTTTTAATATATTTATGGAAGTCAATTCATCCTTATTTTCTCTAACTCACGCTTAACTAGATGGAGTTTAATCATTGAAGTTTAATCATTGTAGTCAGTTACACTCACTTGTAACTGTATATGCACATATATATGATCACCTTCTTTTTCTTCTTCTTTTTTTTTGTCATTTTTAACCAACTAATTAATGTTGCCTCGATTTTTCTACCGAAAAATGAAAAAATTTCCCATGGGATTCTAAGGCCAGTCAAGTGTTGACTATTTGGTTTGGTTGTGCAGCTTCTTCTGATTCTAAGGTCATGTGGATCAACCAGGAGCTAGGGTATTTGTTTGGAAGTTTTAAAAACGATTATCAATTGTTAATTTTAATTAAATAAATTAAATACTTTAAATTATAAATAATAATAATAATTAAATATCAATCATTACCTAAACTTTATCTATCAATCTAAACACCTCTAAAAAAGGTGCTATTAATAATCAAATACTTTGTTTTATTTAATTACCCCACTTTGAACTTGCACAATTATAAAAAAAAAAAAAAAAATCCAATTAAATACTTAGGATGAGTAGTGCTTGAAATTTGATATTTGTTTTTAACAAGTGTTTTTCTCCTTCATTAATAGTTATAGTAAAATATATATATATATATATATATTTTATAATTTAGGCTGCACCATACTACAAAATATTAATTGTTTTATAATAAGATTTTTTGATAATGGGTGCATACACCTTTTATTTAATAATTGATATTTTATAATCTGATACAATCTAAATAACAAAATACTAAACTCTTAAATTTAGTATAAAATCATTTAACGTCTCTTAGAAATAAAAGTGTGATAATTAAATAAATACAACATATTTACTAAGAACATGCTTGGTATA